AGGGTCATGATACCTGTAAAAACTGACGAAGAAGATGAGGAGGTATTTCTATAATTTCTTTCGATTTTTTACTTTTAAAATCCACCCATAGTTACAGTTCTTGCTTTAATCTGATTTTTATATCCTAGAGGTTTCATGACGCGAATGACTTTCCGAAATTGTAAGAATGCTGGATTCTTCTAATGTACTATTCAGACCCGATCAGATATCACTGGTTCTTGGAATTTCCGAAGCAAAAATAGCACTTGATTTGTTTCTTGACAATAAATTTGAAGAAGCCAAGGCTAGAGCATCTCCATAGTAAATCACTCTAATCTTACATTTCTTTAGTATAAAAAACAGTACATATCACGCTATTTCATATGCGACTATCCTTTATCTCCAAGCTTCTGCGACATTGGAGCATGTAAGTTGCATATAAGATGCAGTGTTTGCTTAACCTATCTTCTTATTATTAACGGACTATTGTGAGCATGTGAAACAATATCCAAATATACCAAATAAATTTAAGTTAGTTTTTTCATGGAAAATTTAATTAGGTCAACTTGCGTGCAATAATTTTTCGTCTTATGATAGCGCATCATTTTCAAGCCTCTTCGTTCACTTATAAAAATCCTGGTAACACTATCTAGGGTCAAATGTCAAGCCTATAAAGATATTTTGATATTTTTGTAAGAAATTAGCACGATTTCTTTCTATGTTTATTTAATGGTATCGTCTCACTCAAAAGTTAGTACCTACTCGTATTTTCCAAATATCTATATTTACACCCTTGAATCCGAATTGCTTCTAAGAAAGTTTCGAAAGTAATCTAGTACAAATTTTATTTTTTCATTAGGCTTTAGAGACTAACAGTAGCTGTGATCTAGGAGCTGTATTCATTCTATTTCGTTTATGATGGTCATAGCCGGATAGTTGAATTAACCCACAATTCTATGAACAGTCCTCATGTGTTTGTTAAATTTTGCACAACTTTTCCTCCCAAAATGTATTCTCATCCATGGTTGATTCTAGTCTCGATCTCGCCTAGGTCTCATAACTAACCTTAGCGGGATTCGAACGTGGGTAATATGACATGTAGTATTAACGCTTTAACTATTATGTCACGCTCCTACGAGTTTCCTTGGGTTAGAAGATAGACATGAATTTCATGAAAGGCCAGGTCTTTCTCACATCATCATGGATGGGAATACCGTTTGGGTGCAAGTATGTGTGAAATATAATGAATAAAGAAGGCCTATTCATTTGTTGTGAATACCAGTCCTTCATCACCTTAAGCGAACTAGGGTTAATGCAGCTCTTATGATTCACTT